TATGTATGTATGTATGTATGTATGTATGTATGTATGTATGTATGTATGTATGTATGTATGTATGTATGTATGTATGTATGTATGTATGTATGTATGTATGTATGTATGTATGTATGTATGTATGTATGTATGTATGTATGTATGTATGTATGTATGTATGTATGTATGTATGTATGTATATATGTATGTATGTATGTATGTATGTATGTATGTATGTATGTATGTATGTATGTATGTATGTATGTATGTATGTATGTATGTATGTATGTATGTATGTATGTATGTATGTATGTATGTATGTATGTATGTATGTATGTATGTATGTATGTATGTATGTATGTATGTATGTATGTATGTATGTATGTATGTATGTATGTATGTATGTATGTATGTATGTATGTATGTATGTATGTATGTATGTATGTATGTATGTATGTATGTATGTATGTATGTATGTATGTATGTATGTATGTATGTATGTATGTATGTATGTATGTATGTATGTATGTATGTATGTATGTATGTATGTATGTATGTATGTATGTATGTATGTATGTATGTATGTATGTATGTATGTATGTATGTATGTATGTATGTATGTATGTATGTATGTATGTATGTATGTATGTATGTATGTATGTATGTATGTATGTATGTATGTATGTATGTATGTATGTATGTATGTATGTATGTATGTATGTATGTATGTATGTATGTATGTATGTATGTATGTATGTATGTATGTATGTATGTATGTATGTATGTATGTATGTATGTATGTATGTATGTATGTATGTATGTATGTATGTATGTATGTATGTATGTATGTATGTATGTATGTATGTATGTATGTATGTATGTATGTATGTATGTATGTATGTATGTATGTATGTATGTATGTATGTATGTATGTATGTATGTATGTATGTATGTATGTATGTATGTATGTATGTATGTATGTATGTATGTATGTATGTATGTATGTATGTATGTATGTATGTATGTATGTATGTATGTATGTATGTATGTATGTATGTATGTATGTATGTATGTATGTATGTATGTATGTATGTATGTATGTATGTATGTATGTATGTATGTATGTATGTATGTATGTATGTATGTATGTATGTATGTATGTATGTATGTATGTATGTATGTATGTATGTATGTATGTATGTATGTATGTATGTATGTATGTATGTATGTATGTATGTATGTATGTATGTATGTATGTATGTATGTATGTATGTATGTATGTATGTATGTATGTATGTATGTATGTATGTATGTATGTATGTATGTATGTATGTATGTATGTATGTATGTATGTATGTATGTATGTATGTATGTATGTATGTATGTATGTATGTATGTATGTATGTATGTATGTATGTATGTATGTATGTATGTATGTATGTATGTATGTATGTATGTATGTATGTATGTATGTATGTATGTATGTATGTTATATATATATATATATTACGTGTCTGTTACAAAGACATGTTAAATATAAATTTTTGCATTTGAATTATAATCTGTAAAGCGGACAACTCATTGTTCTATAAAATTTGCTATTAATGTTAAAAAGTGCTTTAAATGTCCATTGTGATAAAGACAGTTTGTAAATTGAATATAAAACAGATCTAGAAAATTTAATTGGCTAAATTCAATTTTGATGAATTAAAATCAATTCAAATTAAAATCATAAAAATTTGATGAACAAATCTTGTTTGTCAACGTGTCATATTTTTTTCTTGTCATTTGTCGCACTTACTCGTGACATAGTTATTGAGGTTTTAATTTTCTACTGTGAGTTAGAGTAATGCATATTACCATTTGAGCTTTACGTTCTCGAAAAAAAGTCTTAAGATATCAAAATTAAATCATTATTGTTAAACTCAAATATTGTAGAAGCAATAATGATACTTCAACCCTATGATTTTGAGAATTTAAGTGTGAGAGGAGAAGATAAGTGAGAGTCATGAAAGGCTGAGGAGTATTATCACTTTTTGATAGTGAAAGACATCTTTCATGCATAGGTTTAAAGCATTAAAATATTATGTATGAAGATATGAAATTTTTTATATGAGATATGTAAATACACAAGAATTGGGTGCTGTCTATCTAAATTTCCTTTTAACAAAATGATTGATATAAAATTGTAATCATACTTGAATTTTAGGTGGTGTAATTTTTAATATAACTGATAATATTATTAAGTAATTCACACCAAAATGAATATAGCACATTGTCACCTCCCAAAAGAGTTCTTCGGGTGGTGGGCAGCCCGGGATTTAAATATTTTTTTTCGGCCCTACACCTAGCCGATGTAGGACTTTTGGTCCATGACATTTTCCTCCACCCAATCACGTGACGCCCTCGTCACGGATCAGCTCCACCGAGGGTCTCACTGGACCATGAAGAGTTCACACACCTGGCAGACAGTAATCTGCACTGATACCATTTGTCACCTCCCAAAAGAGCTCTTCGAGATGGTAGGCAACCCAGGATTTAAATACTGCTTTTCGGCCCTACACCTAGCCGATGTGGGATTTTTTGTCCGTGACAACACGACCTCCTCAACCATACCTGATTTTTCCTTTAATTATAAATAAAATTTTAAACATTAAAAAGTTAAAAAAAAAAAATTATATTACGTGCCCTGAAAGCAAAATTCGCTTTCAGCTTGGACTAGGAGCGATCCACATAACTACCAAAATAGCAAGAAAGAGATTTTATTATTGGTCCGATGGATCAAGGTTTAATCAAGAAGAA